GGATAATGGATTAGATGTGGGAACAGTGGTGTTGGAACATTAGATGTGGTAAACAAGGTAAATGGATTAGAACTTGTCGTTGGGCTAACCATGTGAGGTTTTCCTCATCATATAACGAAATGCGAGTTAGTTCTATCGGAAAAGTCTTCCACGAAGGCTAGGCTAGCTTGTCCAAATGCTGATATAGGAGTTCCCTTGTCTTCTGGGTTGGTTTTAAAATTACAAGGATTCGGAATTAAACATTGATAGGCGTAAACTCAGATTTGGGTCGTTTGTTCAACGCCAGTTATAATATAATGTAAAATCAGTAAGACACCTTTTAAGTTCATTGGAGTAACCCACATTTCGGCTAATTAAAAAATATACCACTCATTTCTCAGTTCATCATATTTATCTCAGACTGCATTTAATAAGCTCAGAGTAGTAGAGATTTATTGAAAATTGCTTTATCAAAGTTTTTTTTTATCCTTTTTGAAATCAGCCTTAGCGAAAACAGTCTGATCGAGTAATTCTTCATACATTACTTAATTAGTCTATTCATATAGGCCAGTTTTAAATTGTAACAAATAATGGTGATTGAATATGGTGATAAAAGAATAGTGGTGTAAAGTTGGTAAGTTGATAAACAACAGCTAAAATGCTAATTTACGGTTTCGATGAAAACCTCAATAACGACGTCTCGCGCTTTCTAGAAAAGCTACCACTCACGACTTGCCTTTTGCTTTGTGACTTTAAATTGCATGGGTACACTTTTATACTGTAAATTACATGAACCCATACAGTCGTGTTTAACCATTAGTTTATTAACATCCTATATATCAGTACAAAATTACAATATTTTATACAATATTATGATTTTAAATCTGTAATTTTGTTCCATTCGACTTAAAAGATTAGAGCAATCCCGCCTAGAATTTCAAAACATTTTGTCAACTTACAAAAGTCAAACTTTCTCAACTGTAAAGGGAAAAATCGAAAGTTAATATTATTTTATGAAACTATGCGTCTTAACAAGGCTTTTATTGTTTTGTCAGAGAGGTTTGAATAATTTTCTAAAAATAAATAGATAGAAAGAAAACATCAGTTACTTATCAGTTACCTAGCGCAAACGTTTGTCAACATACTAATAAAATTACGTTGTTCAGCGTTCTTTTTGCTTGCTTTCTTAAATCGTGTGATATGAGAAAAATAAAATTTATTTAATAATAAATTAAAAAGTAATAAAATTAATATCTAAAAATCTTCACAAATATACGCCTTTCTACTCAGATTTAAAGAAACTGAAGAAGGAACAAAAAGAATTGCTTCTTGCAGACGATTTTCTTCTACAGTGAAGCAAAATTAAAAAAAAAAAATTCTTTATCTCGTATTTGATTTGCTAAGAGCATGTCAGTATAGAACGCACCATTTTGTTGGTCGAATCAAATCGAATGCTTTTGCTATATCATATAATTGTTTCTTTTTCAAGAACGAATGTTTTCCTTATTTATCTAAATCATCCAAGTTGGGACTCCAGTAAAACTACGAAACTATAACCGTTTTTGTTAATAATTCTATGATATATATCGTAAAAGATAACACGAAATAAATTTCCGCTCGACGTGTTTAACTTTTAAAAACTTTTATATTGTTTTGAAAGCATATTTGCATAATTTGGTAAGTAAATAAAACGGAACTATATGTAGTCGCAGATATTTGCTTAAATCCTATACCGTCATGGTCTTTTTTTAAATTGCAACGGAGTACAGATAGCTGCCATCTTTGTTCGGTTATCTATAACTAAACTATAATGTTCAAAACATTTTTATTTTCCGGAAATGATTTGTATGATTATACTAGCTGAACACCAGTTCTTCGTACGGGATAAAAAATGTGTATGTAAACTATAAATCGACAATCAATACTACGTAATTATGCTGAAAATAGAAAAGAATATTCCAATGCCGTTATTTATTATTGATTGCTCTCCTTTCTGGTGAGTTTAGCGTTATTAGATTAAGCAAAACACGTTCACAGAAGTTCAGCTCTTCAAAATAACTTAAAAAAATTATCAAACAGCAGCCGTCGCCATGGCAACGTATGCCTTGACGATGCACTCGCTCCATTTTTTATTACTCTTGAGCACAATTGAAAAGTGTGATTTCGTCCAAATAAAATGGGCACGCCATCAAACCGAAAGCTATACCCATTTCGCCAATGGATAATATGGTCATTATCATTAGGCTCCATCAGAATTAATGCTATTGATCATCTCCACAATTATCAAACTATTTACCACAGCTATGTAAATTCTCTATTAATTTTCCAAAGTTGAACTATAAATAAAATAAACCCATGGTTTCTGATATTTTTAGATATTCTAATTTGGTGTCGTTGGTCTCACTTGGCATCCACGTTAATCTTGAAATTACCTGACATAAGGAATAAAAAATAATTAATTATTAAAGAACGTGCAATTAACTCCATTTTTGATTAGACTGTTCAGTAAGCTGGCAAACATCACGAGTATTATCTATTTAATATTTTTTTAAAAATGGAATCTTCTGTAGTTAAATTTAAAGTACATAAAGTCTAATACTACACTTATGCTAGAAAGGAAATTTTTAAACGTTAAAGGAGTTAATTAATATAAATATAAAAAAAATGAAATAAGTTAACAAATAGTATAAACCAATAAAATAAAATGCAATCCTTATTGCTCTAAATTTCACAAAAAAAAATATCTGCAAAAATTGGCAAAAGTATTCCCTTCCCAGTTTGCGATACTTAAAAAAAAATATGAATAAAAACTAAAATAAATTATGAAATTGGGAAAAGAAATGTCAACTAAAAAACAGTAAAAGTACCGTACAACGAGTAGGGCATGTTACAAGAAGTCCGTTATTACGATAATTTCCATTTCTCCGTCAAATTATTAATATTTAAGAAAGACTCGTTATTAGCTAACAAAAAATGTATACTATAACGAGCTAAAAATTCCAGCATTTAGGTATATCAATAAATGTCTTTTTTTTTGGGGGGGGGGGAAACATTTTTGTGCAATATTATATAAAAGGTTTAAATGGAAGACATTTTTATTTAATTCTGATATCATTACGGAGAAGCGAAAACGAACATTGTTTCTCTTTTACATTATTAACTCTTTATTTGTAGAAATCAATTACTGGGTAATGCTTATGAGTTATCTTTTTTCTTAATAAAAAAGAAATCTTGTCTAATTAAAAAATTTTAGAAATCCTGTTTCGCACTTCAAAAGAAAGCGCATTTTGTTGATGACTTCAAAAGAAAGCTCCTTTTGTTGATGACATGTGCAATATTATGTAAAAGGTTTAAATGGAAAATATTTTTATTTAATTCTGGTATCATTACAGAAACGCGAAAACGAAGTTGTTTCCTATTTTCATTATTAACTCTTTATTTTAGAAAGCAATGAGTGGGTAACTATCGGCTGAGTTATCTTCTTTCAAATTAAATTTTTTTTTTCTGTCCAATTAAAAATTTTCGGAAATCCTGTTTCGTACTTCAAAAGAAAGCGCCTTTTGTTGATGAATTACCTTTCATACTAATATATTTTCCCTTTTAACAACTTTATATTAAAATTAACTTTCACTGTTACCGAAAGGTATTGTGCTTCATTTTATTTTCTTCTACGAAGAACTTTTTATGATTTGGGAAATGGTATTCGAAATATTCCAGTTATTGAAATTTCTGCTCTTGTTGAAATACAGAGCTATGTGATATATCCCGTAATTTGTTTTGAAAAGCAGTATGCTCTAGATGAGTATTTTAAATCAAAATAGTTGTTCTAAGGAAAAGAAAAAAAAGTTAAACAAATTTATTACGCTTTTAGTCTTTTTATTGCAATTTTATGATTAAATCTGCACATTTGTTTATAACAACAAAATTATCTGCTGCTATGAATTGTCGTTGTCGCCGACTTTTACTGTAAATAAGAAATAATAAACAGAAGAAAGCTAATTAAGTAAAAATAAAATAAAATGCATCTTTATTTACTGGCCTAAATTTCATGAAAAGCGGAGATCCGCAGTTTCCGATACTTAAAAATGAAAATAATAATTAAAAATAATAAGTAAAAATAATAAATAAAAGTAATAAATAAAAATAAATAAATAAAAAGAAAATAAATAAAAAACTTAATGAAATAAAAAAAGAATAAAGAAGAGTTCAGTAAAATGAATAGAAGAAAAGCAAATAATATACTAATAAAATAAAATAAATTCTTATTTATTGGCCGAAATTTCATAAAACATTGGCCAAAACATCCCTAGTTTGCAATACTTAAAATTAATATCAATACAAAAAATACAAATTTATTATTATTCTCTCTTATTTATTATGCATATTTGCGTATAACGACAAAATCATCAGTTTTTATAAATTGTCATTCTAACTGATTTCACAGTAAATAAAAAAAAAAGCAAGCGTATTCAAAAAAATTAATAAATGAAATATATATTTATTTACTGGCGTAAATATCATAAGAAAATGTTATAGTTCCCAATTTGCGATACTTATAAATAAAAAATTAAATAAAATCGTTGAAAAGTTTAGTGAAATAAAAAACAAACATAAGCTAATAAAGTAAAATGCAATCTTATTGACCTAAAGTTCTCTAAACAAATGATGAAATAGCCCCGACTTACAATACTTAAAAATAATATCAATACAATATATAAATAATAAATAAAAAATATTAAGAAATAACATAATACTAACCATTAATTAAATAAAAAAAAGCTCCATGGTAATTATCTAAACATTAAATAAATAAAATAAAATTGGTATTTCAATTGACAAAAAAAAAGAAAGAAAAAGGAATTCATTAAACTTGGTATTTGAATTGGAAATAACCCTGGAGGTTAATTTTTAGGGGTCGAATTCGATTTCGTAAGAGTTCACGCGGAACAGAATGTTGTAGTGAAAGGAACAGTATAGAACACCACTGATCCGTAAATGTAATTGCGGTTAGTATGTATTCTAAAACAGGTATATAAAAGCTACATTGTTTACGAAGTCATTCATAACTTTCACTTAGTTACAAATTATCTCTTAAGGTGCCAAAACTGAATGAAAATGCTTGCCAAGGTATGATTTTTCACTTTCTTTCATCTTTATGTAAATCGATAGGAAAAAAAAAAGTGTTTACTTTTTTTGGTGGGGCGCAGGGGTGTGTTTATGCGTGGGACTTAATTTTCGATTGTAGTGTTCAGTGTAATCACTGACGGAAGCAAAATAAGAAAAAAAGAAGTAAATTTGACTGAATAAAAAAAAAGAAGAAAAAACTGCAGCCGTAGTAAGATTGATTTTTAGAAGAACCTAAATCCATATGTGAAACTAGTTAAAAAGTAGATATCGACGGATTTTTTTTAAATTTTTTAAAATTCATTATTTTCAACAAATTATTTTTTAATTACGTAGAGAACATTTTAATTTTAACCCTTTAACGCTGATGGGACATCGGTGTACCTTATATATGTATTTTTTTTTTCGTCTGACGCTCGAATTACAAGCAAAAATTTATTTTGGTATTATTTTAATTATAAAAAAGTCTAATAGTTACTAAATTATTTTTGAGATTATTAGAGTTTTGGATTTATTATTATTATACTGAATTTATTTTTGAGATTATTAGAGTTGTTATTTATTCGAGTTTTGAAATTATTTTTTTCATTTTTGTTCAAAAACTCATCAATAGTTGATTTTGGAAATTAAAGAAATTTCAATGATGAATCGATGTTTCTATTATATCTGAATAATTGCAAATAAGTACAAATTTTACAAGTTTAGTAGTGAACCGTGTTTGAAAGATTTTGTCTTTAACGCAGAAAAAGACAGCTAGTGTTCATCCTGTATTTCATAACCATAAATTATTAAAATGCTAAATATATTTTTTATTTATTTCGACTTAAGTTAATGCAAATGTAGTAAAAAACTTAGAAAAAATATTTTCAATAAAAGTTATGCATCGAAGGGGGGAATTAACATAATGACCTTAATAATAATGATGTTGAACTTCATCATTGAATTAATTTGAAATTCGATTGATTTGTTTCATTCTTAAATTTATCGCTCTTTTAATTTTATTCTTCAGAAAACATTTTGCATGAGCATAATTATTTATCTGTTAAAAAATTTAATTTCATGGTAAAAATAATTGTAATAGATTTAATAATTTAAGTGTCTTTATTAAGCAAATGGATGGTTTTCCCTTTAACTCTGCTCTCTGCTCGCCTCTGCTTTTTTTTTTTTTTTTTTAAATTTAGAGGCTTTAATTTCGCTCACTCTGTTCACCTATTCCAAGGATTGATTTTCATTCATCATTTAAAAATATATATAAAAAAAATAAAAACCAAGACAATCGTAATATTTTTATCCCATCGTATTCGACACTCCTTCGTAATTTCAAGGTTCTAAAACCAAAAAATTTGGTGCTGCAAAACAAAATGTATTATTATGTTATGCGAAAAAGTGAGAAAAAATTCATGAGAGAAATACTTTTAATCTTTAATTTTAAGCAATTTTTTCTTTAATTTTAAGCAAATGGCATAAAAAAAGCTCGCGTTAAGTTCATAATCAAAATGGATTTTATAGTACGACAAATTTCGATTATCTAGTTTAATTTCTGCGAACTACAAAGTGGTATTTTTGGTAAGAAATGTCTAATGATCCTCAAACTGATAATAATGGGTTATTATATGTTTTTTTATTCTATCATACCTTCTGTACATTTTTTTACTCACTACTGTAATTTCAAGTTTCTAAGTCTCATAGTTTTGTTTCGCCGAAAAACAAAATGCAACGTAAAGTTGAACACTTAAAACAGCGGTTAGCCTAGTTCACGTTTTTTTTTAGTATCGAAAGAAATTTATTGTAAAAGTCATTTATTGAAGACGGTTTTAGCTGATTGCTGCACTTTAATAATTATCATTCATATAACCGTTAATAGTAATTTCTTTATAAATAGAATTTTTTTATTTTATTTATTTATTTTTTTAAACAATTTTTTACAGTTAAAGCTTTTTTCTGATGAATCATAGTTTAATACAAAAAATATAAAATTATGATAAGGGAAATTTGAACAATTCTAAAGTGTTTTAAACATGACATGAAAGTTGAACATTACAATGGATTAAATTAATTGATCTGAATAATTGAATTTTCCTGAACTTGATTACAATCTTCGTTTGATTTATTCGTTTAATTACGTTTGATGCTAGTTTGATGCTAGCCATCTAACCTTACTCACCAAAAAGTACTTTCCCTGAATAAAATTTTTATAACAAATTTGGATTATTATTACTCATTGGCAAAATGGGTGTTGTTTCGGGTTTGATGGCATGCGCACCTTATTTGGACGTCATGACACTTTTCAACTGTGTTCAAGAACATTAGTAAACAGTGCACATGCGTCGTCATTGCATGCGTTGCTATGGTGACCGCTGCTGTTTGATAATTTTCATCAGAATTCTTTTCTTATTTTTATTTTCACCAGCAGTCATTTTTTGTGTATTTACATAATAATAATTGAAAGTATTTTTATATTCTTTTATTATTAACTTATGATTAGTATCTTGACGGTATTTTAATATAAATATGAATACTGAAGAAGGAAAAGTATTTTGTGACGTCTTGAAACACATACATAGGCAGGTTATGAAAATCAATCCGACGACTAGCATCAATTGAGACAGTTTTTGCAACCCATGATTTGAAATGTTGTGGTGGCGTTTTATTTAATTATTTTTATCAAAGTACGTATTCACAAACACATAAAGTAAAAGTTTTCACGTATTTCGTTTTTGTTTTCAGATAATCATTGCTTTCGTTGTGATTGGAGTTGTTGCAGCTAATCATCATGACCAACATCATCATGAGGTAACTATTTGTAAAAATATTACACATGTATATAGAATTAATCACAACGACAACATAAAATAAATAATCTCTCAAAAAGCTATAACTTTCAATCACCATCACATTGTGACACTAAAGAAAAAGAACTGATAAATGTATTTCTAAAAACACAAAAAATGAATGAATAACTAATTTTATTGACAAATATACAAGTTGTGCATTACTAACATATATAACTTCCTACTTCTGAAAATTTTTCGTAAAATTTTATATTTGAATTGTTGTAGTGTTCCTACATTTTTAAATTTCATTTAAAAAGCTTCTGGTCACCACTAAATTAAAATACACCAAATTTATAAAAAAAAAACATAATACTCTAATTAATTTAAACCTTTAGCAAGACTAATACTATAATTTCTAATTTACAAAGGCATATACTTCAGCTGTAAAAAATTATTGGTGTTCAAATTTAAAACGGACAACCCTGAATAACTTTGGTTCCAACGATCGGATCTTCATGTTCTAGAATTCAATTTTAATCGATTTCAAAGGTGTCTTATATTTATAATTTGATCTTTTAGAAACTATTCAATTGATTTTGCTCAAATTTTGACACGCAAAATTACAGTCCTTAAAATACACTACAATGTAAGTACTATGTAAGAAAATGATATACCTTGCGATTCAAAAATTTATTATTTTAAATTTTAGCAATATTTTAGTAATATCTTTTGGTCACTGGTTCTGTTATTAAAATTTTTCTTAATTTGCAGCTTGCAAAATTTTATTCATACATACGTATATAATGAAAATTGCGGTTAAAAATTATGTCCTTTGCAGCTCATTTTATTTTTATTTACTTATTTTAAATTTTAGCATCACCATCCACATCCATACAAGTTTGGTTATGAGGTGAAAGGTAAGGAAGGATCCCACCACAGACACGAGGAAGGTGATGGACATGGAGGTGTCAAGGGTAGCTATGGATATGTTGACCATCACGGAATCCACAGGGAAGTTCACTATGTGGCCGATAAGGCAGGTTACAGAGCCGAAGTTAAAACCAACGAACCTGGAACTGCCAATCAAGATCCAGCTCATGTTAAGCTTCATTCTCATGCAGTTCACCATCACATTGAACCTCATCATCATCACCATCATGAACCTCATCATCACCATCAGGAGCCTCATCATGCTCATCATAACCATCACGGACACCATTGGCAACATCATGCATAAGACCAAATATGCATTTCTCAGCCATTCAACTCTATCAATGGGTATTCGTGGCAGATTAGTTTGGTTAATTGATTTGGTTAATAGTTCTGTTTGGTCAACTAAATTCGATTGAATATATTTCACAGTTCGAAAGTGTTTATCAATTCTACGATCTCGTTCGACTAGCGTTCTCAAAAAACTGGTAGTAAAATAACGGATATTTGAAAACTCCCTACTTTACATTTACAAGTTAATAATCTAAGAACAGAAATCCCTCGCAGAGATTATCTAACAGAAATATTTTTTAAATCAATTGGAAATGTAAAAAAGGGAGCTTTCGAATGTGTTTTAGAAATTTCGCTACCAGTTTTTTCTTTTTTTGTTTTGATTTTCAGAGGACGTTGGTTAGCCTACATTTGACGCGTCAAACTGACCTTGCACATTAAAAGAAGTGGAAAAAATATTCTGTTATTTGACTATTGAGATGATGCATTGATAACTTTTACATCATGTAAATAAAAATAAAAAAAATATTTAAAAAAGGTTTTAGGTTAGATATGGTGACTTATACCCTAAAAAAATGTCCAATAATTCTTTTAAATAAATCATTTTAAAATAAATTTATAAATGCTATAATTAGATAAAACAAGCACAAATTTGACTATCACTTTAAAAAGTAAAATTTCTAAAGAAAATTCATAAAGTGCTATATTTATTCTTGATATCGGAAAAGGTCTAATGATGATACCATATAAAAACGAATTATAGATAAAGCTTAACTGAAACACGTATAATAAAGGAAAGCGAACTTCTATTTTTGTTTCCATTCGCAATCAACATAGCTTGGTTTTGGGCTAGGTACTAAAGTGGGCTTGCGTCATTTTATAACTGCTTAAATGAATCTAGGCATTTAGGTTCCTTTTGTGTATTGTCGATAATTTATTTATTGATCATTATTGTGGAATAAAATGAATTTTAATCTTTATTCTGTGTTTGGTTCAATTTATTTAGTTATTTTAAATTTTTTAAGTCGATTTCCTGCTGTAACTTTTAAACAAAACGAAAATGCATTATGTGAATGCGAATTTTATTGTCTAATCTATTTCCTAATTGTAATTAGTATTATTTATATTCAGTAAAGGGTGCAAAGGTGGACGATTTTTATAAATTTTCCAAAAACATTTACTAATTTTTATTTTCAATAAACATAGTAAACTCGTTGCTTAAAACTCAATCGCTTGTTGCTGTTGTCTTATGCTATTTACCAATTTCAACAAGCTTGTTTAAGGCAGAGGGGAGCGCTGCTTGCTTTCCAGCGGCGGCATCTGTGGCCATGAATCTCTGCTACACACACACGTTTTACAAAGAGGATTCATTCACACACCATTCATCCATCAGCAGATCGTAGTTTAGACCCGAATCAGAGAAATATCAATCTCCGATCCAATTAATCTCTTGGGGACGGTTGATTCAGAAAAGCATTCGTACAAAATCAGAATGTAATTAAATAAAAAAACGGTAGCTTAAATGTTGTAGTTTTTCTTCCTATTAATGTATTTTTCGAACAAGGCGGCGCAAATCAATAGGTAGGAAAATGACCTTCCATAGAAATTTAAAAATTTCTAAGGTGAGTTAGAAGTTAGAGGTGTTAGACAAAAATATGGAAACAATTCTATGCTAACTATGCATTTTTATCCATGCATAATTCGGATCGACCGAAATGATGAAAGGAAGTTAATAACTTTTTTGCGCTTTAATACCAGCAATTTTAAAATCATGCTAAAGGATTGCGATATTTACTTAAGAATGCTTTTAAAATTAATTTGGCATTAAAGAAGGGGAAAAAAAGCTTTTATCATGATGCATTTATTTTGCAGGAGTAAGAGGATATTATTTCTAAAAGCTTGAGCATGATCTTTCAAATTGTAGGCCATTAGTAATGTAAATTCTTCCAAGACATTTGCATCTATAACAAATATTTTATTGTATGGAGTTAAAATGGAAATGTTTCCATAATTTTTTTTCAATCCCTGTATTTGCAAGTAAAGCACACTTTTTTTAAAAGCATATAAACATTTTGAAAAAATAAAACGATGCCCAAAAAATTATTTCAACTTAATGCAGGGATTTCTAGTGCTCTGGTTTAAGCAAAATATTTTAGTGAAGAGGTCGAAAATTAGTGATTAAAACTTTCTGAATCCTGCATTAAGTAGAAATCTTCATAACTGCTCAGACCTCAATTAACGGAAATAAGCGGTATTTTATAGCTGTATGTCTAAATTATTTGTGCATAGTGTTTAGTAAATTTTGTTTTCTTTACTTTTGTTAAAACATTAAAATATAGCTTTTACTTATGCTGAAAAAATAATTATGCAAATCAGAGTAAGCTGCATTTCCGATAATAAATGTGGCAAGTGAATGTATAAAAAGGTGAAGAGTTTATTTTTCTATGATAATTAATTAATCCAATTTATAAAACACAATTTTGATATCTCATTTATTGACTATAATTGAACAATCAGTATTGAAAACTAACAATTTGAATAAATGAATAAATATGATTAGTCCTATTAAATGATAAATCATTTTACTGTGCTCAGAGCGTGCATCACTTTTACAAGGTTCGCCATCCAATTCAATCTCTTTGATTTCAAAAAACTGTGGAGGAGCACCGGCTGGTACGCTCATCTTTATGCTCAACTGAAATAAAAACAGGTTTCAAGGTATTATTCAGGTTTATTTGGCCTCTTTTTTCTTTTAATTCTACAATAATCAAAATAGAAAAGTGGCCACCCTGCATAACTTTTGATCTAATGATTGGATTTTCACGCTGTTCACGAGATGCAGCAAAATATGTAAAACGTGATATTGTGACTCAAGGGATAGAGCGTTCTCCTTCCAAAGAGGTAAACCGAGTTCGAATCCCAGCGATGACTGGTGGATACCAGGGATCTCCGCCTTCTGATAAAGTTTTAATAAATTGGTAGCGAATTAAATTGTAAAACTTGTTGAATAAGGATAATTTGACCTAATCAAAAGTGTAGCCACGTAATAACTGCAATTAAGTTACTTTTAGTATGATGCCTAGAACATTTCATATGTAGAGGCGGAAAAATTACTTAAAATAAATAATATTAAACTAAAAATAATTTAAATTCCGTTACCACTAGAAAATATTTGTTTACAAAGCGAAGCAAGTTGGGATCTCTGCGATGCGAATTCCAAACCCGGCTCGCACCGACCAAAGTGCTGACGTAAAATATCCTCAGTGGTAGACAGATCATGAGTTAGAGTCCCCTTGCCATCAGGCTAACTGTGGGATATTTTCGTGGTTTTCCTTTCCATGTAACGCATGGGCGGGTAAGTTCCATCAATAAGTCCTCCATGAGGTCAAAATTTTTTAAATACTTGATGCAGAAATTCCCTTGTCTTCTGGATTAGGTTCAAAATTACAAGGATACGGAGCTGATCATTGGTAGTCGTAAGCCTGAAATTAGGTCGGCTGTTCAACGGCGGTTATTAAAAGAAATTAATTAATAATGATTAACATAAAGGTAGGGCATGAAATTTCTTTTTTAAAAATGCTAACCAGACAAAAAATTTCCCTCGCCACTTAGCACAAAAATATGAATATTTTTTTTAAACAAAGTTAACAAGTGAAGTATGAAGAACATTTAGGATGATTAAATCCAAGAAGGAATATAGACAAATTTAAACTCATTTACGGCAAGTAAAACAATATTTATTTGAAATTGAATTTCAATAAGGTTTTAATGATTCCAATATCATCCATACATCATTAAAAATCTGTAAAAAAAAAAAGAAAGAAAAAGATCCTAAATGTTCCTTTACTTTTAACACTTTATGTTTGTATATCGCTGCTTTTTGACTCTTAAATACCATTTGTCAAGGTTAAAACATGTTAAAGAGGGATACATTTCTAAAAAGTTTGAGTAAATAATTCAAATTTCGTAATTTCGTTCATTTTGATCAGCTGCGTAGGGACCGGGGGAGATGCGGAATCAGTTCTCGTTAAACTGTTTTACGGTAAAGAGCTCGACTACGTAAGGGCTACCTCGGGCTACTGAAGCAGAAGAGCTACGCCCTCTTCAGAGGATCAAAATTGTGAAGGTATGTCTTTGGGTTATCCTCAGGGATGATAATTCACTAAATTCAAATTTATTGAATTATTCCCAGACCGTCACTAATAGCCCAGCGCGTCACTAATAGCGCAGCCCAGACCGTCACTAATAGCGTCAAATGTCCCAGACCGTCACTAATAGCCCACTGTGAAGCTCTAGTGCGCAAATAAAGCACCTAAAAAAAGTAATATAGTACGTAGATAAAGTAATATAGTATGTACATAAAGTATCTACTTACCTTTGCTGTTAGCTAATTTCAGACTCGTACTGTATTGTGCTTTGTTTAGTATAGCTCATTCAAAATAAATTTAGGTTGACGTACAGTTCCTATTTATGAGTTTTAAATACTTTTGCTAATTTTGCTAAGTAGCTGTTTAATCAAGTTGAGTTTTTAGAAAAATAATCTTTGACTGGGCTGGGATCGCAGAGGAATTTGAATTTATGAATATAGTGTTGTAGATTTGCTCCATGAATTCTGCTACCGTGCATAAAAGTAGCAAGAGTTGTTAAGATATTGTGCTAAAATAATTAAATTCTTCTTACGTTTATGACTAATTTGTAATTTTTTTGAATTATTATACCATGCAAATTCTGTTTGACAATCAGCTCACATAAGAACAAAGGATGTTAAAGATCAGCAACACCTTCAAATTGAACAGAAACCATTTTCCTTGAAGTTTTTAAATTTTAGATTGTCTAACAAATGTTCAGTATTTTAAACTTTCATGAAAAATGTCCATTTACCTTAAAATATCCTTCGAAACCCATTGGTAGGGAGCTTTTAACAAATTGCCAAGGTGGATAGGAGAAAATCTGAATCGCTCGTTTCCCATTTTGTCGTTCAAACTCAAGTTTCAAAACGCTGGCATCAAAATCACCATCGACGTTTGGACCTTTTCGTATATTCAGTCTTAAACAAGATCCATTTCTTGCATATATCCACTGCTGAAAATTGGCCACAGCACTTTGTTGTTGCTGAACAACTGTGCTCAGTATAATACCTGACACATACACAAGAGAAGAAGTATAATTTTAGGAAGCTATACATGGGAAATTTTCAGTATATATATATATATTAAAAGCATATA